AGTTCACTGAAACCCAGGATGTCAATGTTTATTCTTGCCATCTCTTGTTTGACCACATCAGGCTACCAAGGTTCATAGATCTTACATTCCAGGTTCCTGTGCAGTATTTTTCTTTGCAGCATCAGACTTTCCTTTCACTTCCACACACGTTCGCAGCTGAGCATCCTTTCGGCTTTGGCCCAACCATTTCATTAGCTCTGGAGCTACTTTTACTTGTCCTCTGCTCTTCCTCAGTAGCATGCTGGACACCTTCCGACCTCATCTTCCAGCGTCATATCTTTTAGCCTTTTGTTTCTGACCATGGAGTTTTCTTGGCAAAGATACTGGAGTGACATTGCCAGTTCCTGCTCCAGGTGGATCGCATTTAGTCAGAACTCTCCACTATGATCTATCCGTCTTGGGTGTCCCTGCACGGCATAGCCTATAGCTTCTCTGAATTACTCAAACCCCTTCGCCACGACAAGGCAGAAATCAGTGAAGGGGTGAAGCAGTGCACATGACCTGAAATGCTGTTTTGAATTGACTCAGCATTAACAGAACTTGTTGTTGAGTCATCCTCCTCTATCCCTTGAGATTTCCTCCTCAGTGGTGAGCAGTGGAGAATATTTGGATAGCATAACTGCTACCCAGGTCCTGCCCTACTTAAATTGTTGGAAAGTGGACAAAGATCAGCGTCCAGGAAATTGGATATTAGGTTACCTTGGGAGCTAAAGAAAAAATGGAGGTTTAGGATTATGGGATTAATGATAGATTTTGTACCCTGAATTTTGGCATCAGTTTGAGTTCATTCTTCAGTGTCAGTAAACAGTGTTTTAGAAGAGGTAGTGGTGTTAGTCTGTGCAAGCATATGAGGCGAAATCCAAAGGAAGAAAACAAGACAAAGACAAAAGCATGTGGCACCTAAAGACTTTAAAATATAATGTAAGCTAAAGTGGACATGTCCACAAAAGCCTACATTAAAATATAATATCCTATCTTTAAGTTGTCACGTGCTTTTGTCTTTGTCTTTGTTTTTTCTTTGGATTTTGCTTCTATCTTTAAGTTGTTGCATGCTTTTGGCTTTGTCTTTGTTTTTTCTTTGGATTTTGCCTGATAGGTAAACAGAAAGAATGCCTTACTTTTCCTCTCTGGAGAAGCAAGGGTTACCATAAAAGTCAGGTATTCTCTTCCTTGCTGTCCTGATGTTGTCTATTGTTTGTCTTTAAAAAACAAACTAAAACAAATGTGAAAATAATTAACTCAGGACATATTTATTAATGTTTTTTTTTCTCTATGTACGCATATGTGTATGTGTTTTTTATGGCTAAGACTTAGCATTCTGTGTATAATAACTTTGCATGTGCATTTCTTATTTCTTAAAAAAATAAAACAAACTAAAATAAATTGTAATTTAGAATCAAAATTCTTTGAGAATGCAAACTTGTAATTTCTCTTTACCTTCCCCCCCTTCTCAATGACTTTATCATGAAACAATATGCTGCTTGTTTCTTTACTATCTGTGCTGTGGCCATAATAATGACATTGAATTTGTTCAGTCTGGTGACATAGCATATGTAGATTGCAGATTTAATATGATTTATGATAAGATCTTGTAGTTATGCTCTGTTTTGTGTTTCCCTAGCTTAATTGACATCTAAATAGCAGGTTGATTGTTGTATAGTTCTCTCTACTCTAAGTGGGAAATTCCTATCTTGACTCCTCAGAGGCACTTGGAAGAGTTGGGTAGATGTAGAAGATAGTGTTTTTCGAGACCCTTCCATAATAGTTAGGAAAACAGTAAGATTGGAATGAAAAGGGCATTTTCAGATTTGAAAGTAGCTTCTATATGTGGAAAGCCTAGCACGCAAAAAGGATCATTTAGCTACCTTTCGTGTAGTCTCAGAGAAGTTTCTGAATGGTGGAAAGACCATTTGTTCCTGGCTTCGAATTTTCTCTTGCTCTCCAAAGAGAGAAAAAAGAACAACAGGAACAACAAAAGTGAGGAGCCCCATTCAAAATGGAACAGCTTTTTTCTCGGTGGTCCTTTAAAGAAAAAACAACAACAAACCAAAACTATCACCATTTTTCAGAGAAACACCTCTGGATAAGGAAGTGGTGGTTTCAACTGCTGCGGATGTCAGCATTACCCAAATTACTTTTTCTTTCTAATATTGATTAATAAAATCTGGAGAAATGGGGCTGATTAAATGACTCTAGAGGTGATTAATGATTTCTCATGAGTGAGGTGTTCTGTGACTACTACTCATACCCTCTGCAGGAATTATTACTCATAAATATCCCCTTTCTGATCAAAGAGCTTGGGAAGGATGGTCATTCTCTTCCTCTGAGTTGTTCTGGATAAAATGGATAATCTGAAGCCATTTTAATTTGGGCTCTGTCCAGGTTTTTGCACTCGAAACAGCCTTGTTCAAGCTCCTAAATGACCCGCATGCCTCATAGTGCAGTGGTTAAACTGCAGCCAAGACTTTGCTCATGACCTGAGTTCCATCCTGATGGGCTGCAGTACTCAGTTCGTGGTTGAATCAGCCTTCCATCCTTCCCAAGTCAGTAGATTGGGAAGTGTGTAGGCTGCATAATTTTAAACTGACCAGAGACTGCCTGCAGTACTCAGTTCATGGTTGAATCAGCCTTCCATCCTTCCAAAGCCAGTAGATTGGGTATCCAGCTCACTTTGGGGCAGTGTGTAGCCTGCATAATTTTAAACTGACCAGAGACTGCTTTAAGTGCTGCAGGGCAGTATATAAGCAGCACACTTTGCTTTGCTTTTTGCGTTGTCAGCAACGAGGCAGAGGAGTAAGAGCCTGTTATTTCTTCTTGACTTCCCAGCACCGTTTGAGATCGCTGGTCATAGCATCTTGCTGTGTACTCTCTGAATGATACAGTTTGTCCTCCTACCAGCAGGATCAGAAGGTTGCACTGGGGGATTTCTGCTGTACCCCAGACCATGTATATAACTTTTTTTCCCCAGTCACCATGGCCACTGTACTACTTAATACCTCTGGGTATCTGGTATGTGAATATATATGCATGTGTATATATATTTACATATTAGGAGCTTCCCAGAGCGATCTGGTTGGCCACTATAGTGGCAGAAAGCTGAACTGAATAGTCCTTTGGTCTTAGGTTCTTCATGGAAAACTTTTATTGCTGTTTATTTTATCTGTTTCATAATAGTCCTGTTGTATTGATTTGAGTTTTAAAATGTCTTATTTATATTGTACACCACCCTGGAATCCCATGTGATGAAGAGCAGTGTAAAAATGTTTCAGTTTTATTTTTTAAAAAAATTTATGAATGTTTGGGTTTCCATGATGTGTGGGAAGCCATGCACATTTGTCCTGCATTCCTTTTTCAGTGTCAAAGACATATGGTTTTTAATGTATTTGCACCCAGAAGTGTTCCCCTGGTTTAGGATACATGTTATGCTGTATGCTTGCTCCTAGTGGGTCATTTTGCATTTTGGCACATCTTAGCTCAGCTCAGTAATGTTTTGCTCACTACATTCTGTAATTAAGTTCCAACAGAGGAAAGAGGAATTTTCTGATGAAGAGTATGATAGCAAACTTCCATCAGCATCAGATGGTGGCTTTATCTGTAAAAGAAAACAGGGATTTATCTAAACATATCTGTATCCAGAAGAGCGAATCCTGTACAGTAAGCCCATGAAGGAAAGGTGGAGAAAGTAAACAAGGGTAAAAATGGGTGTATTAAAACATTCCTCTCAGATAACTAGCTTATTACTCACTATCCCCTGGTCAGCTCTCATCGCTACACTCAATAGCTATTTTTTTTAAAAAATGCACATGTTATCTTAAAAGAAATATACCCACATCAGCGGTTTCTGGCTTGAAGGACTACAAGGAAAGAAGTGAAGGGAGTTACGTAGTTGGGAGGTGGCTCAAGGGACACTGAGTTCAACAATATTACGATGGGGAGCTTTCTATCCATGGCCCTCTGCTGGGGTGTCAAAAACTCAGTCTTCCCATATTACTTTTTCTTAATTATCTAGTCTCTCCCTCCCCCTCAGTTTCGGAAAGGAAGAAAGGTTGGTGAGAAGGAGATTAATTATCTACTCAGGGTGGAAGAGGGGGAGGAGGAGCCCCCAGCCTGAGATCTGGTGGGTTTCACAAATGCATGTGATTTGTGAAACAGCATTTTTTAAAGGGCGGGATATCTGTTATTTGAAATCTTTTCCACTGATTCATGCATCCAGTTTCAAATACAACTCAGTTTGCAGTAATCTAGCGAAGCACAGGTTTTGAGTGAATGGGATGTGGTACAGGTAATTTGTTACTTAATAGAGGCTTATGAACACAAATCAAACTAATTGGCCTATGAGCAACATGGAAAGCTTGCTAAGCCTTCTGTGGGCACTGAAAAAGCATGTATAGTTTGCACGTGACTAGGGGCAGTGCTTACATCTCGGGTATCCAGCACAGAGTTACCTTCAGAGGAAAGGGCTTCCCTGTCTCAGATAAGATAGATTTTTAAAATGCACTCTTAGTGAGTGAGGAGAAAGTAAAAATATCCAAAGCAAATATTGAATATTTACTTATTTAAAGAAACAGTTACTGTTGCTTGTTATTCAAGTTTCTTTTTTGCTAGTTATTTGTTAAATTCTGTTGTTAGATCACTGATAGATTTTTACCCCCATTTGGGGACAAAATAGTTCATCTCTATATGTAAGAAAATGGCATCACTTTGGGGGGAAAATGAAAACCTCCCCAAATGCCACTTGAAGCATCCCCCCCCCCATAAAGGTAGTTTTTAAAGATAAGAAGGGTTACTTAACACACAGGGGGGGGGGACATAAATCTTACCCATCTTACATAGCTTTGCAAAAGAACATGGCATTGTCTTTTGTTATCCCAATGTAGTAACACATTTCAGGCAATATCATTACTTATAAAGTGTTAGGTTGTAACACTAAGCAAGAGAACTAGATTGGTATGATTTATTTTAATACAGGACATATCTGTTGTATTCTGGATTTATTACAGACTCACAGCTTGGAACTGACTGTTCATCGGATGCTGAGTGTACTTTCTTTGTTTAAAGTAAGTATAACAGAGCTCTGCTTCACTGGGTTTTCACAAAGCTTAATATATTTATTATTAATGCTGTGGTCCTCTGAGCAGAATTTCATATTTCAGAGCAGTCAAAACAACTCTAATGAGGTGTTCTAAATGGGTTCATAATTGATATTAGAATCAGAAAAGGGTGAATATATTCAACCCCCAAAAGTTTGGAGAAGCTATCAGGAGAGTTTAAGTATCTGTGATGTTTACTTTTTCATTCCCTGTGTTTAGTTTTCATTATGTCAGTTTCATCATTTCATTAAAGGATTTGTATGGCTGTAATAACTGCATCCTCCACTTGGCCTTAACTGCTTATGTCATTTAGCTTAGTTTGATTAATTTTCTTTCATTAAGTAAGGGAAAGGTTATGCTTACTTGACAGCTTTCAGAGGATGGAAAAATAGTACACTGGCAGTGAATTATTCACAATTGACAGGCTTTGTTTAGGTTCCCCTGTAATTATTTCAACCTCAAGTCTTTTTAATCTCATAGTTTTAATTTCTGGAAACTGGCTAGATAGTTTTAAATCAGCTATTAAAGTGTAATATTCTTTTGGAGTTTAAACATTCTGTACTATGACCAATAAGTCATGATGCAGTTTCAAATTAATTTGTGATACCAGTGAAGTCACCATGTTAAGACTGTGGAGAGTTTTCTTAGGAAGTATTTGTACAATAAACAATTGGGCTATATCAGTTTAACTTCATACCTTTCCTCCAGAATATCTTAGGACCTATGGTTTAGTGTAGAAAGTGTAGAAAATTCAATCTCCAAGGCCTGTTAGACTCAGTAGGATTTCTAAAGAGATGGGATTAGAAAAGAGATAACACACTGTCTTATTTTGGGGGAAGCATGGTAGATAGCGACGGGAATCCATTTCGTTACAGATATTCTTCCAGTAAGTTTCTAATGTTCAAATATAGCCCAAAAGCTGGTGACATTCCAGTAGTCAGAACATCTCTGTAGCTCTTCAGAAGTAAGTGTTTATCATTTGAGCTTCAATCAGATGACAACTGGATTCTCCGGGTCAGATTGCAAGAAAAAGGTCTGCTGGGCATGAACTCAGAGTATAATGAGTAAGCCGTACTTCTTCTTCGTGGTCTCTGTGAATACACACAAATGGGTCTGTTCTGCGCCTGCACTGAATGTCTTGGAAGATTCTAGAGCAGGGTTGAGGGAACTTTGTAACCTTTTACCCCCCCCAAAATTTATATACGTCAACATTACCCCCCTTGGTGCCCTGCTTAATGTCCATGCAAAATGCCCTACTTACTAACTTAGTCACCAGCTCTGAATGCAGCTATAAACTTGCAACAGCTACCTCCTCCTTCCATAGCCAAGTCAGTGATTCACTTCCTCTCAGCTATAATCCCTTCTCCTACCACCAAATGCTTGGAGCACAGCACCGGATACCCTGTACAGTTCCTTGCCAGGGCTTGCTCTCCCTGCGACGGAACACCCACCTACACACAGCATCATCAGAAATAAAATGCCTGGGGGGTAACATGCCTGCCATGACTGTCCACATTACCCCCAGGATTTTCATTTTTACCCCATTTGGGGTAATTTACACCTGTTCTCTGACCACTGTTCTAGAGCTTAAAGACATTTGATTAGTGGGACTTTCCCCCGTGGAGCACATGCTCCACCCACCCAAGATTCCCCTCAGTTCCTTTTTTCCGCCGTGTTGTTCTTACGTACCTCCAGAAGAATTGAGCGATTTCATTGAGGTATCTAATTCAATATTTCCTATTCTAATCAATAATTCAAATCTACCACTTTTACTTTCCAGTCATCTAATCAATGTTCCCCTGTAAGTTAGCTATTTTTCTCTATCCCCGTTTTGGGGGCCCCTCTCTACAAACCATTTTCCCTCTGTTTTTCCCACTCTTTATGGCCTTGCCAGGCCCATTTAAGCGGTGTCATCTTCTCGAACAAAATACCTCTGACAGACGGACACAACTGTTGATTATTTTGTTTGGGTAAGCAATATCGTACCCATTCCTGTGCAGCTTGCAAAAAACTTACGAAGTCAGCGCTTTAACTTAGACTCCGGAGGCTCAGGTCTCACCTCTGAGAGACGTCTCCAACCGACAGTACATTTTATCACCGTTACCAGCCTGTCTGGCTCGGGAGCACATTGCCTTCACCACAAGATTCACGGCCTATGGACAAATCAAGAACAATCATTTCATATCAATCATCTCAAGCTGTGACAGATTTTACCTTCTTGGGCTCCATGATTATTGCAGATGGAGACAGCAGCCACGAAATTAAAAGACGCCTGCTTCTTGGGAGGAAAGCGATGACAAATCTTGACAGCATCTTAAAAAGCAGAGACATCACCTTGCCAACAAAAGTCCGAATAGACAAAGCTATGGTTTTCCCTGTAGTGATGTATGGAAGTGAGAGCTGGACCATAAAGAAAGCAGACCGCCGAAGAATTGATGCCTTTGAATTGTGGTGCTGGAGGAGACTCTTGGGAGTCCCCTGGACTGCAAGGAGAACAAACCTATCAGTTCTAAAGGAAATCAACCCTGAATGCTCACTTGAAGGACAGATCCTGAAGCTGAGGCTCCAGTACTTTGGCCATCTCATGAGAAGAGAAGACTCCTTGGGAAAAACCTTGATGTTAGGAAAGTGTGACGGCAAGAGGAGAAGGGAACGACCGAGGATGAGATGGCTGGACAGTGTCTGCGAAGCAACCAACATGAATTTGACCCAACTCCGGGAGGCAGTGGAAGATAGGAGGGCCTGGCGTGCTCTGGTCCATGGGGTCATGAAGAGTCGGACACGACTAAACAACGATGATCTCAAGCTACTAGCTGTTATCAGAGCTTTCCACACTTTCCTTCCAATCACCGTACAACTTACCATGGCTCTATACCACGTTAACAAGCAGGGAGGCACCCACTCTTTATCCCTCCTGTACCTTGCCATTGACCTATGTATGGGAATGGTGTTACCAACATCACATCTTCCCGATAGCAGTGCACATTTCCACGGATGAGAACTACATCACAGATCACCTCAGCTGTATGACAACGAGAACACACAAGTGGTCTTTGAATGATCACATCTTTGATCAACTTTGCCGTCTACGGGGAACATCATCCATCAATGCCTTTGCTTCGAGTACGAATGCCAAATGTCACATCTATTGCTCTCGAGCTGGAGCAGATGAGAACTCCATCAGGGACGCGTTCATGACAGATTGGGACAAGGAATTACTCTATTCCCACCAATACCACTCATTCAACGGACAATCATTTGAATTCGACATTTCCAATCGAACGTGATCCTCCTAGCTCCCTGGTGGCCAAGGCAACCATGGTTCACTCACCTCAGGTCGATGTTGACAGACTTGTTCCGACTCTCTCCGATTCCCGACCTCCTGACACAAGACAGCAGGATGGTCTACCATCCAGACATTCCATCATTGAATCTGACAGCTTGGAGGATACTCCCGCCTTGAAGTGTGTTCTAGACAGAGCTCGAAAACCTTTAACCCAGTTCCTATATGCCAATAAATGGAAAGCCTTTCTTACCTTTACTGGAACAAATAATCTACCTGTAATACCTGTCTCTTTGAAGACATTACTTACCTTTATACTCCACCTCTTCGATTTTGGACTTTCTTGTTCCATCATTGTCATGCATCAGCCACCTAACTCAGAATCAGCAAAATTCTTGTCTCACCCAACGGTGAAGAAATTTTATAAAAGACTCAATAACATTCGTCCACCATGTCAGTGGATCATACCCCAGTGGTCACTGCAGATTGTCCTTAATGCTCTCACGTGTCCACCATTTGAACCCATAGCTTCCTCAAACTTCAAATTACTATCTTTGAAGACTTCCTTTCTGGTAGCAATTATATCAGCTAAACTAGCCAGTGAACTTGTTTCCCTCCGTTCTGATCCTCCATTCATACAATTCCATCCAGATAAGGTCACCTTGTACTTTGATGCCTCTTTTTTACCCAAGATTGTAACAGACTTTCATCTCAATCAACCAATCATTTTACCATCATTCTTTCCGTCACCATCAACACCTCTTGAGCACATGCTCCATTCTCTTGATGTAAGACATGCTCTTGCCTTTTATATTGGCAGGACCAAAACTTTTAGGAAAACCAATAGACTTTTTTTATGCTTCCATGGTCCTCACAAGGGAGCACCAGCCTCCTCACAATCTATTTCCTGATGGATTGTCCAGACCATCTCTTTAGCATATGAACCATCAGTAAAATCACCTCCTGGTCACTTAATTGCACATTCTACTAGAGCGCTGTCAACATCTACTCCCTTCCAGCTTGGGATTGAGATACCTCACATCTGCTGTGCAATGATATGGTCTACTCCATCGATCTTTGTCAGACACTACCGTCTAGATGTCAGAGCACGGAGTGACACTGCTTTTGGCAGAGCTGTCTTGGCATCCTTTCTACTGTGATGTCCCACCATCTGGTAAGTGAAGCTTGCTAGTCAAACATTCATGTGCATTCACAGAGACCATGAAGAAGAAAAGGAGGTTACCTACCTGTAGCCATAGTTCTTTGAGTGGTCCTCTGTAAATTCACATAGCCCACACATCCTCCCCTCTGTCCGTCACAGTTTATCTTAAATAACTCTTCTACCTGGCGGACAATTATCAGGAACTGAGGAGAATCTTGGGTGGGCGGAGTGTGTGCTCCACAGGGGAACGTCCCACTAATCATGTGTCTGTAAGCTCTAGAATCTACCAAGATGTTCAGCACAGCCGCAGAACAGACCCATTTGTGTGAATCCACAGAGGACCACTTGAAGAACTATAGTTACAGGTAGGTAGCCTCCTTTTTTCCAGTGAGTGATATTTTGGGGCTAAGAATAATGAAAACAAAATACTGATTGGGGTGTCGAGGAGCCTATAAGCTTTTCAAATTTTCCTCTAGCAAGAAAGAGCTACTAAGATTTTTTTTCTATGAAGGAAACTTAGGA